AAATAATAATAATACCATATGCTATTGCTGCTATAGGTTTGCTCTTGCTGTGATTCAGTATTGCCCTGTCGGTGTTAGCAGCGCAGTGACAGTGGGACAGCAGTGACAGCTCGGCTGTCATGTGACAGGGGACAGTGACAGCGGGGGCGGAGTCCCGGGGATGTAATCACACAGCTTGGAAAGTGTCCGGGAGCTCCAGTCCTCGCTGCCCTCCGTCCTGTGCCCCAGCCCGGCTATCCCACTGCAGGAGAGGACCCAGCCGGGGCAGAGCAGAGCCTGCAGATGAGAGTGCATCATGCTGATCGCCGGGCTCCCTCCCCTGTCCCGGGCCACCGCGCTGATCCTACTGCTGGGAGCTGCTACACTGTGCACAGGTACCGGGACCCCCCCCATCCCCACCTCCGTCCACCGAAACTTCCAAAACTGCACCCCCCCTTACATGTGCTGCCACGCCACTGACCACCACTGACGGGTCACCGTCCTCCCTGGTCACTCAGCTCTGTTTATATAACCGAAGTGACCAGATGTCCCCGATCCCTGCCTGTGACTGGTGACCCATCATCTCCGGGAGTGTTCCCGCTCAGCCCTTCTACTCCGCACTCCTTATTCTATAATCTCTATATTCTATACTCTCTATACTACGCTCTGTATACTGTATATTCTACATTCCATATTCTATAGTCTGTATATATTCTATACTCTCTATACTACCCTCTGTATACTGTATATTCTGCATTCCATATTCCATAGTCTCTATATTCTATACTCTCTATACTACACTCTGTATACTGTATATTCTACATTCCATATTCTATAGTCTGTATATAATCTATATTCTCTATACTACACTCTGTATACTGTATATTCTACATTCCATATTCTGTATTCTCTATATTCTATACTCTCTATACTGCACTCTGTATACTGTATATTCTACATTCCATATTCCATACTCTCTATATTCTATACTCTCTATACTACACTCTGTATACTGTATATTCTACATTCCATATTCCATACTCTCTATATTCTATACTCTCTATAGTACCCTCTGTATACTGTATGTTCTATATACTGTTAGTTGGTTGACAAGTAGCACCCCTGCTATTATGCTTTCTATCTATCTATCTATCTATCTATCTATCTATCTATCTATCTATCTATCTATCTATCTATCTCTCTCCTCTCTCTCTCTCTCT